GCCCGTCCGGCAGCGCCCTCCCGGGCCGCCCCTGCGGGACGCGCTCGCCCTTCTCCGGGCGCTCCGTGCCCTGAGGGATGGGGCTTGGTGGCGTCTGGGGGGAGGAAAGAGGGGGGGGAGGAAAGAGCGTTAGGAGAAGTGATCGTGGCAGGGGAATAACCTCACACTTTGAAAAGACGTACTTTGAAAGATTGTCTAACGCGCTTGGGCATAACTTGAGTGTAACTCACCCAAACGGAAAATACCGAGAGGCCGGCTGACGGCCGTAAGCGGTAGCTGCACTGACAGCCCATCCGTTTGTCAACTTCCATGTGCAACAGGGGAGTTTTGCTGGAGAGTCTCGCATTACTTTTTTAAAGTTCATCAGTAATGTGCAAGTGCGTTAAAAAGTTCAGTGTTTAAAATCAGATTGCAGATTGCATGTGTAATAATAATCTTTCTACAACACCAATGCATTTGCCCATGCTCTTCTTGTGGGTACTAGAGAGAGCTATCTCAAATGAAAAGCTAGGAACTGCTAGAACTCAGATTGCCTACAAAACCATAACTGGGTTATTCTAAAAGAATGAGTCAGTCTTTATGAATAAGTTATGAGGTGAGAATGTAATTAAAGGACCCCTGCCTCATACCTGAGCATAGCCAACTACTCACTTTGCAAGTATTTAATTATTTTTTGTCTCCTATGTTCTATTTATTAAGCAGTATTAAAGACCAGTTGTAATGATTTACAGTCCATTTCCTCATAGGTTTTCTGAGGTATTCATCAGTATAGTATCTGAATGTACTTACTTCTTTGACACTTCTGTGAAACTGTATTATCATCCTTCTTTTTCAGACAGGTAGGTGGGCTGACACAGAAAAGCATCCACTAATTTTAGGTTCCCGTGGTGACACGTTAGAACTCTATTTTACCTACAACTACTTAAAATTATGTGGAATTTCAACTACTCAAAGCCTAGCTCTCACTGAGGTTTGCAGTAGTTTGGTACTCCAACCCCAGGATATTGAGCAGGCTGGGACCATACTGTTAGTAAACATCGATAGGCATTGTTCTAAAGTGATTAAACTAACCTCATGCTGAACCTTTGTGACAGCTGTAAGGATAAAATCCAGTTTTCCAGAATAGCACTCAGCTGCCTTAATTAAGAGATTCTCTTTTGTCTTCTTGCATTTTTTTATACACTCCTACATAGCTTGCAAATTCACCAAACCAAATCTTGCAAATAGAAGGATCCTAAAGACAAGAGCCTCAATTAATTCATATAACAAATTCTGCGCACAGAATGAATCAGGGTCTGGGGGTGGGGAAAAAAGGCAATCGCATGATTAAAGACCATAAGGTAAGGTGCTTGCATAATAGGGCCAACTTAAGGTCCCACCAAGCTCACTGCCCCAATTCTACTCCCTGACCTCAGCATACCCCTATTATTCCTTTTGCATTTTGATCATCCTCTTTGCACAGCACAAACCTCAGCAAGAACATTAAGGAAAGCAATGAAAGACTGTTTCGCTGCTTCTGCCAGCCTAGAGTGATCATTACAGAGAGCCTGGCTTTGGTCCGATAGCTCTGAGTCAGGCATCACAATCACCCATTCTGTAGGCAGGGAGGAGGAAGGGAAATGCAATTTACCTGTTTCTCAATGCTTGGTCCACAGTATCAAAGCAGGCGAATTTATCCTTTAAAAAAATTGACATGTGACCACAGTTCGTGGAGATAGCACATCAGTAGTTGGCAACAAGATGAGGCGAAAAAGGCCATTCCTGATGGCTTATGAAACAAGAGGAAAAAAAAAAAAAAGAAAGTTTATATAATGCATACAGTTCAAAGGTTTCCATTTCTGGCAAGATCTTGGAGATGCATCAGAAAGTCTGCTTATTCCCAAGTTTCAAGTTCTGAACTACTGGAGCACTATGACTGTACAAAGGAAATATCAGTATAGGAAATCTTACACATATTTAACATCAAAAAATGTTTCTGTAGCCTCAGTCTTTGAAAGAATGGCTTAAAATTTCTTTTAAAACTCACAAAACATCATAGACTGTATTAGATGCTAATGATTAATGTAGTTATGTATCATAAGTATGCAAAGCTATGCATCTCAATAAAAATACAATTATATAACTGCAAAAATAATTATTATGTTTGCATTGTGCCCATTGCAAAGAGTAAAATGTTACGAGAAATAGGACCTTTCACAAAAAATTAATGTGTTTCTAAAATGTTTTTTTTTTTTTCCTCTATGCATATGGAAATTTAAGGGACTGGATTTTTAAATAGTATTGTAAGCTATTCAGAAAACTAGGAAAAAAGGAGACTAGGAAGGTATAGTGGAAAACATCTTGCAAAGACATAATAATGTACAGCATTTAGCACAATCTGAACTCTCAAGAGCTTATATAGGCAATAAACCAAGACTGTATGATGAAGTTCAAACTCTCCAAACATGGCAGGGCTCTGATTTGGGCAACAGGAATTACAGTTTTGAAATCAGGCACAACACAAATATAATGTGATTACTTGCTGTTACTTTCTCTCAGGCTGTCTTCAGTATTTATTTAATTTCAGTCTTCAGAAAGTCACCTCATGGCTTTTGATCTCTGGCTTATTCATTACAATCACAGACAACTGCATAGATTTGTTTGGGGTTTTTTCTTTCCCCATCTGCTATTTTGTGGTGCCTAAAGTAGCCTTCGGATTGATATGGTTTTGGTTTCCCTTCAACCTTTACTTTTAAAGCAGCTACATCACATCCAGTTAAATCTGAGTTTGCTTATGGACTAATCTCTTCTAAGTTTTTTTTTGCTCTCCCAAATATCTTGTCTTTAAAGTTTTCTTTCAAGAGTGAGAACAGTTGAAACTTTGGGCATACCCAAATTCCAATTCCTATTATGTAATAAACACTGGAATTAAATACTACGAGAATATTAAAAGCTGTAACAAGACTAGACTCAAATTGTCTAACTGTAAATTATTTTTGTACACTTAGTTGTACTTATTTCCTGTGACCTCTAGATATCAAAACAATGTGGTTTTGATTTTTTTTTCATACACATTACAAAGCAATGGAATTAAAATAAACGCAATCTGGTTCCCTCCCTTTTTCCCCACCCACAATATTGTGTTTGATAGAGCTGCACACAATCTGCATGACAAAAACAAAAACCAGATTAGACATAGAGGGACATACTCTTTCAGGAATGTATGATCAAACCTATAAGAATACTCTTGTCCATAAATATAAATGCGAAGTCTTCATAAAAACAAACAAAACCACACAGAAGATTTTAAAATCATACCTTAATCATGAAACATTTGGAAATACACAGAACGTCACTTCATTCTGACTGTATTCCACAGAAGTTCTGATAAAATACTTCGGAAATTTTATTATCTTGCTAATATACTAACGCTACCATCATCATACTGATACTCTTATTAAGTTTCCATAGTTCTATGCGTTCTAGGATGGTCTTTCATTGCTTTTATTAAATTCAGGTTACAAAGCTGTCGGGACAGAGACTTTTCCTTCGGTCATGTTCAGAGTATCTACAGTACCATACAGTCTTGGTTTATGCCTGGATGTCCAGATGCTGTAACACAAATAAATTGCAAGGATAAAAAGTTCACGTCCTTCTCTTTAACTTACATGGCACATTTTAAAGATCTATACCTGAGCTCCTCCAGGAGTAGACAGTTCATCACTTCTACTTTACATGGATTTAACGCAAGGGATTGGGATTTGTCCAAAGTTATCAAACAATTCTCTTACGCAGCCAGGAATATGACTTGGAAATTCTTAGTTTCCTCTTCCTGTCTTGTAGCTCTCCTACACCATCCTTCCCCAGTTGCCTGGAACTGAGACACAATGTAAAAATTCTTCAGGGATTTCTTCAGAATCACTAACACCATGCAGAGCAAACCCAGCTTTGCCATTAACTACTAACATAGTTCCTTCGGACATTACTGGCTAGCTACAAGAGTCTAGCCAAATCTTACTGAACATTTAAGAGTATAAGTAGTTGTCATTTGTAATGCTGCAGCCTTATTGCAGTTTTTTTTCAGCTGGGAATTTACTGAACCTGTACTGACAGTGAAGATAACACTTTCAACACTTCGTAAAGATAAGAATCTGGTTATACTCAAATGGATGCTTCTGCTACCCAGAGCTGAAACATATATTCAGACCTGCAACGGAATGGGAGATGATCATGTGTCAGTTCCACAACGTAACTGTTATTTTGACACCTAGAACTACAGGTTCCAAAGAGTCCACCCAGTACACCTTATGGACCCTTTGGGAAAGCGTGAGAGGATCTTTTTACCACAAAACCTATATAACTAAACAGCAGGTAATATCCTGGAATGGGAGCCATGACACAATAGATACTATTCACTATTTTAGCAAGGAAGTTTTAGTGCCAATGATAGAGTTTTTAAATGAAACTGCAAGTGACTACATAGCCAAGGAAGCTTTTTTAAACTCCTCAAGATGTGATTGCTTTTAATCAATGGCCAAAGATGCATATGCAAGTTTAAGCATTATTGTTTCAACATCCTCTCCTCTCCCTAGATCACAAAGCCCACAAAGCAGGAGGGAACAAGATCTGGGACTAGCGGCCAGTCAGAAAAGTCCTAAATACTGTTTTAGGAAGCCTAGCTATTTTCGTAAGTAAGGATTAGCTACAAACATTCTTTCTAAAGCTTTTTTTTTACTATTCTCACGTACAAACCAATTGTATTTCTTAATGAGGTGATTTCATGAGGTGTTTAAATCCCTTTGTTTCACGAAATTACAAGTGCTGGAGGTCACCAGCATCCCACGCATTTCAAGTTGTGCTGGGAACAATATTTTTCTGGCAGATCTTCCATTAACTGATTATAGTTAAACATATAATCTATTATACTAGATTAGTCTGTTAGCTAGTCTATTATAATAGATTATATGATTATACAGATTATATACAAAGTGTACAATCATATTCCGTAGGAAAATAAATATCAAAGCCTTCAATGACAAAGTCTAAATATTTTTTCTGCTGTCTCTCTCACAGATATTACCAGTTATTAAAGCTTAATGTCTTTCCCAATCTCTATCCAGTACTGGGAGTTAAGGTTTATAAACTGTTCTCATACCAAAATAAATCATTAGTTTAATTAGCAAGACAACTCTAAATCAGCAGCCTTCCACTAATTTGTTTTGTACTCATCCAACTTCTTAAAAATTGCTGCAAATAGCTTGGAGCCTGCAAGCTGCCTATTACCATGCAGGGTCTTTCATGCATTGGCTCAACCTGAAGGATGACATGAAGCCCTAAAAAAAGTCATCTGCTGTCTCAACATTTATCTGCTGCCCTGGACCTACTGCTTTAATACTGACATGGGATAGTTAAAATAAAGTTCCTAAATAGTGTTGTTCTGGAGAAATAATGGTGAGAATCCCTTAAACAACAACAAAACCCAAACAAAATAAAACAAACAAACAAAGCAACACTTCTTTTAATTTCCCTGGAAATTATGCCAAGCACCCGCCCATTTCCCTGCTCTACACTCACCCCACCACCCCTGCTAGTTATTTGGCTTCTTTGTCTAAAAATGAGAAGAAGTAGAACCCCATCATAGAGAACATATTTGTTCAAACGTAAAGCATTATGTTCTACAAAATAACAACATGGGCAAAATTGCATGTTATGATAAGGAGAAAATACTGCAGTGCTTAGGGCATCTAATCTTAGCAGATTAGTGGAGCTAGACCACAGAACATATGCTAGCCTTGCCAGTTTTAGACTGAAGTCTGCCATTGTATGCTGCCTTGATGGCAGGAAACCACTGCAGCTATTCAGAATGTTCAGTATTCTGCTCACTACAGATTGGGGTAACCAGGGACTGGGTCAAGCAGTGTGGCCTCAAAGTGTCAAAAAGAAAACTGTATTATTTTCAAGTACTGACATTCATTATCAAAGTTTAAAAAAAAACAAAACTGTTTTATATCTGCATGTTTGATTCAATAAAAAATAAAGAGTTTTTCTTCCACAGTTTATAAAGGCACTTTTGGGGAAGCCCATTTTAGAAATCGAAGAGGAATTCTTGAATTAGCCGGCGCCATTAGATGTACTACAGGACGATCTCCTTTTGCCTACCTACGCTATGGATGCTATTGTGGTCTGGGAGGAAGAGGATGGCCCAAGGACAGAGTAGACTGGTAAGAGTAACTATTTATCTGAGTAATTAAGTGCTGAATGTATGCAGATGACAGAGTAAAAGGACTAAAATATGAATTAGGCCTATTTAACATCAGTGAGGGAACCAAGTTTAAACAGACTGCAAAGAAACTCAGAAGCATGAAAATTGTGTTGCTGTAGATCTACATGAGTCTTACTTGCCTTTAAATCAAACTCTCATTGCATTAATATTGAATTCACAGTACAATTGAGTTTCTTTGCTGTTGCTGTTTGGCCAAAAGCTGAAGAACTAAAGTCTTCTTGGAGAAGCTTTAAAGCTCAAACATTCAAGCTATCTATAAAAATTAAAAAAAAAAAAAAAAAAAAAAAAAAATCGCAATTGAAAAATCTTTTGATTCTACTGCCATCATCCCATTTTATTAGTATTCAAAATAATACACTGAAAATTATGCAAAATTCAACCTGTCAAAAAATAACTTTTGAATAAACGGAATTATGAATTGTTACTAAAATAATTCTAAAAGCAGACCTTTGTGTTTATTACTAAATCTCAGTATCAATTTAATTTATAATTGAGCATTAGCTGACAGGAAGATGATTTTCTGGCTACAGTAGTTAAATAAAGATTTTATATTTTCAAGTTTATCATTATAATGATACGTTTCCCCACTGTATGCGACATCTTAAGTTCTGATGTATTAGACGTATATTGTAAATTAAAAGGAAAACAAACATCTGATACTCACATTTAGGGTGGAATATATGGAAAGTTCAAATCTGTTTTTTTTGTTTTGGTTTGGTTTGGGTTTTTTTGCATAAAGATTCTAGTCGTGATTAGACTTAAAACTTTTAGAATCTTTGCCTATATATTTCAAGGTTTTGGATGTGTAATCTGCTACTTTAAAGACAATTTTTTATAATGTAGTTGCTACTTTAATGACTGGGAACACATACAAAAAGAAGGGACTATTATTAGTTCTCATCATCTGTATACCTAAAGATAATGATGGAGAACCTGCAGGAACCTTGCCAATCCTTCATTGCAGGCCATTTTTTCCACTTTGTAAAAGTGCCACAGTAGCAAGAAGCTGCTTCTTCACAAAACATGGTTAGCTATTTGTGGTCTGGGTTTTAATAGCTACAGAATGCTAAGAACAAGCCAGAAGTGAGTGTACATACTTTACTGCATTTGAACAAAATCAAGAATTGCACCAATTGAATGTAGAGACAAACATTCTTACCAAGCTTGATTTCTTAAAGTTTTGAGCTACATTGTGGGCTGTTTGCATTCAGAATTATGCCTGAAAACAAGTTAAGTGATAATACAGAAATACTTAATCTGAAGTAAGAATGTCTGATATGGAATTATTCAAATAGTAGTTATTGCAATTTAGATGTTTGCCTGCCACTTATAAAAATAAGCTTTCAAATAGAGACAATCATATATTGCTAAGATAAAATGCAAAATCCTTAAGCATCTATTTTTATTTGAAATGCTTAAAAGAGGACTAAAGTAATTCTAAAAATTTTTGTAAACACATGAAGATAGACTGCACTATGGTAAAAGAAGCCATATTTCCTGGTTTATTTACCTTAGTACTGCTACAAAGACTCACTAGAAGTCTTTTTTTTTTCTTTTTTTTTTTAATTTCTATGCATGAGATGGATGTATTGAGCTAATTCATGGGCATGTGCTGTTCAACTGTTACGTACTGCAGGATATTTAAATGGAGATTCATGTGGAATTACCAAGTAATTATTTAATAAGCATAGGAAAAAACAGTAATTGCAAGTGAGAGCTCACAGCATTAACTTTTTCTATTGCAGGCACAAATTCCTCAGGCAATCTAAACACCATCTAAACATCATGTGTCTACTATAATATGATGGGTTTAGGCTAACAGGAGGAAACTGAATGACTAAATGCAAAGAGCTCGCAGATATATCCTGTTCTTCCCCCGAGTCCAAAAAAAAAAAAAAAAAAAGAAAAAAAAAAAAAGAAAAAAAAGTAGTATAGTTAGTTTGCAGCAAAAACTTACAAGCTAACTAATTTCAGATCCTTTTTACCTTCCCCACTTGCTATTCTGGGGTTGCAATAACTCTACGCCAGAAGAGTAATTCTTTTTTCAAGCATTAAAATATGCCATTAATGCTTACCTCTACTGTTCAGTTCCACATGTGACAAAGTCTATGAATTCATTGTCCCAGTTATGACAAAGACAATTTTGAAATAATCATTTTGGGCAATTTTCCAAATTTTCTCATGATACTGAGCAAACATCTTTAGTTATATTATGGCATTAAATAGCACCCTGAACGTTTCACCTGCTCTCAGCTTTTCTGCCACTATCTAAGGACTTTGCTATAGACGACATTGATGATAGTATGCTATGGCCTAACAAATCTTCTTGTCCCTTCCCTATTAGAAACTGTTACAATAGCATCAATAACTGGCAGAAAAATACATCATTCATTATCTGACAGACCATTCTAACATTTAATCTTTTTCTTGGAAGGGGCTAGGAGGGAGGCATACCCACGTAAAAGCTTAGTGTGTTTAAAACTGAGAATGCTTTAAAGATTCCTTATATTTTCATCTATAAGGAAGTTCAACTAGATCAATGTTATCAGACATTTCCTCGTCACTGATTACATGAAAGAATAGTAATTTTTTCCAGGTGATCTATTAAACAAGTACCTCGTTTTGATTCCTGAGCAGGTAACTGTTTGCACATTCGCGTATGTTGACTCTTTTATTATTTCACAGCCTGTAGAAACATGCTAATAAAAAACATCCAGATTACATGACCATAAATTACCACAGTATGAATTAAGGCAAGCCCATTTCTGTTACTCTCAGGTGCTGCTTTAACCATGACTGCTGCTATGGTAAGGCAGAACGAGCAGGTTGTCACCCAAAGATCGAAAGTTACCACTGGGAATGTGAAGACAATGCTGCTGTGTGTGGTGAGTGAACAGTTCTAGTTTTCGGTTGGTCAGGGGATTTTTTGTTTGGTGTTTTTTTTGTTTTGTTTTGTTTTTACTTCTACTGATTGTCTCACTGACTTCATAGAAAGACATTTTCTTAATTAACTGTAAAATTCTTATTTTACCATCCTTCCTTTTGTGACTTTTTTGCCAGGGTAAGCTGTGCGTCCAGAAAGCACAGCTATGCCAACCAACTGAATGCAGTTTCTTCTTCTTAATCCCCACCTACTGACATACATAAGCAAACAAAATTCTGATCTACAAGCTTCTACTACCCTTTCAGAGAACACTACCAAAAAACCTCCTCATTCAGCATTTATGTGTGTTGAGGAACCATGTTATGCTACTCCCTGCAGGTCTCCAACTAAAGAGCAACTACAAACAGGAGGCGAGAAAGTTACAACTGTTTAAAAAGGATCCTTTTTCTACTTAGCAGAAAATATTTCACACCATTTATGATGGACAAGTTTTTGGCATACTTACCACTGATCGTGGCTGCAATTTATGAATGAATTCAATTACAATTTACAATTTCAAACACTGAGGTAATAAAATATTTGATGAGTATGTTTATTTATGGAAGTAACATGTCCACAAGCCATAAAATGTTGATTTGAAAATATTTACATAATTAGTGTACAAGTTGCAAGAGATGCCTGACCACATCCTGATAAATTTTGTTCGATTGCTCCGAAATATGAATGTAATATACTTGCCATGCTATAGTATAAAAAAGAAGGACAAAGAGATATCAAAGAAACAAACAAAAAACGTTTAACAGGAAAAAGTAGTATTTCTTTTACATTATTTGTTCACAACTCCCTAAGTTTTAGCAAACATTTTCCAATACACTTCAAAGACTTTTTGAAACTACAACTTCTCACAAGCCCCCAAAATTTGCAGGGTTTTTTCTTGTTGTTGTTAGGTTTTTGGTTTTTGTTGGGTTTTGTTTTGCTTTTTTTTCCTAAAATCAGGTGCTAGGTCAACGTTACTTTGCATGTAATTTTATGCTACTACCTAGAATGCAAATCAGCTTGAGAATTGGTTATTATTTGCACCACAAAAATGCAGACCTTTACATAAACTTGTTTACAATGAGTCTGAGTTTCTGACTACCATAGTTTAAAGGCAACACAGTAGCCCATTCAGAGAAAACACAAAAACCTCTCATTTCATAACTCAATTTAGAATTTGCCTGACCTGAAATCATATGAAAGTTTTTGACAATATTTCCTTTCCTCCTTTTCATTCAACCTTTACTTTGCCCAAGTGTCTACCTCATGCAGAATCGCTACTTGCTCATTTCCTCCTCTGCTCCCGAAGTACTAAGCGTCTTCTCTCTCAAACTACATGATTAACTGTGAAGTTACAGTCCACCTATATTTGGCTGTAAAGGTTCTGTTCCTGTTCCAGTCCAGAAGCTGACAATATTTTAAAATACTGGCCAAGATAGTAGACAGTTTCATCAAGAAACAAAGCTGAACCAAAGTGCCTGGTGTACCATGGAGAAGATAAGTTTGAAGCAATAACAAGAGAAGGAATAGATCTTCTCAGTTAATGTGTTTTTTTTTTTAATCCTATCACATTGTTTATGCTATTTATGCTATTGAGTAGTTCTTAGCTAGTTGCAGCATCAACTCATATACATTAAGAACACTTCCATTTCATAGCAGAATTTGGGTTCATTCACAAAACTGAACACTTGTTCTGCTCCTAGACAAATCTCAAACAGAGATTTGGCTAAGCTTTCAAAATGTTAAATACTCAAACAAAATATATCAAGGATTTTTCAGTTTACAGACAGTTGCAGAGAGAAAACACACACGTTTCTGGGTTGGCACAATAAAACCAAAATATATTGCTGTAGAAGAAAACGTTCATGCCAGGAAGAAACATTCACGCCAAAAAATCTGTTAAATTACAACACTACAATTATAAACAAATATGGCCAGGCATGGATTCTATCGTCCTTAAACAGCCTTTACCTAACTTTTTACCGAATGCCTAAAAGAGGTGGGCGATTTAAGCTGAACATGGAACATCTTTGCATCCCTTATTTCACATACATGATTTTAATGCTACATCCTTTAGTAGACTAAAGCATATGTGAAATGGAAAATATCTTCCCAAACTCAAGTTTCACTAGAGCAACAGGGTGGGCAGGGAGGGTCACATACCACTTTCTAAAGAGGAATCAGTTATCAGCGTTCCTTTAAAGAAGGTGAAGAAGGGTATTTAAGTCTTTATCCAATTATTATATTGGATATAGTTCCAAGACAGTTCCACTGATTATCAACTGTCGCTAAACCAAACCATGCTTGTATATTCTCTGTTGCTGAGATGTCCATAGAACTCTGCCTAAAGAACATTAAAGAACTGTAAGTCTTACTGAAGCTCAGTACAGTTCCTGCACTTGAAATGTAAGAGCCATTTATATGGCAAATATGGAACATGAGGTAGCAATTCTTGGTATTCCATTTGGTATTTTTAATTACTTCAGACTAACATCAAGCTTACTGTGTTTTCTTTCAGAATCGCTAGAAGACAAATGTCAAAAAATGGCATGTGAATGTGACCGTGAAGCTGCCAAATGTTTTTCTAAAGCTCCCTATCACACAAAATACCTTTTGTGGCCAGACTTTATGTGTGGTGAGATTCAGCCTTTGTGTAGATATTAGGTATACAACATCAGTCTTTATGAAAACTCTGTATGTATTCATATCTAAAATGACTTTTTTTGTCACAGTAGTGACAACAAATGATTTTCCCCTTTCTTGATCCTCCTTCCTGCCACCTGAGCCTCTTCACCCCAGAACGACCAAAGTAAACATTTATCCTCTTATTTACCTTCTGCAATGTATGGACTAAAAGCAAGTTCATTAGTTCTGTGTAAGCTTTTATTGACTACATAGGAATTTGAGTTTATCAGCTTAAGGAGTAACTGACTTAAAATTAATTTCATTTATATTCACATTCACAGGTTGTTCAGATTCATAATATCATTCACTGTAAACTTTTCATCCCCCCTCCACTGGCTACAAGATACAAATCAAACTGTTCCACTAACATTTACCTTAACATTTGTTAACTTTGAACTGACTGGAAGAAATGCATGAAGTGACAGTGTAAGCACAAAGAGACCTCTCATCCATATTAAACACTTATTATTGAAGCCTAATTTAACTTTTGCATCTCATTCACATTAAGTAGTGCTACCTGTATTAAAAATTGCCTAATACAATTCTTTTTTTCTAGTATTTACTTTTTAAATAGTTTTCTAAGAAGTTGTTCATTTTACATGGCTCAAGTTCCTTACTCTATGTACACCTTGAGTTTCCTGTAGGCACAGAGAGAAGTTCTATCCTTAAAACGTCAGAGCCAGATTTAAAAGTGCAAATGCAAACCATCACCAAGACAGATACATGAAAAAAGTAGCAGTTAGGGGGACCAACTGCCTTTCCCATAACTGCTTGATCTTGGACAGCATGAGTTTGCAAAGTTCAGAAGTGTATGTACCTCATAAGGATGTAAAGATGGTTTTAGCTAGGGACACTTCATAGTTTTCTGAAACCTTTTAGGAAGAGAAATCTGTAACATGAATTCTGAATAATAAACTTTTTCATAACTGCTAATTTTAACAGTTTAAGAACCAGGAGTGTTTAATGTCTACTTTCACCCACCTCACTTAAAACTGCCCGGCTACAGAACAAATTTACAGAAGTCAAAGCTAATGACAAGTACTTCAATATAAAAAAAAAAACCCAACACTTCTTTAGGAAGGACAAAGATTTCAAAAGAGATCTTTAATTTTAAAAAATATTCATAGGCAAATTTAAAGTTCATATTAATGATACAAATAAAAAAAAACCAAAACAATGTAGAATGCAAGGGGACAAAACTCTTGAAAAATCTAACTTTTTCTTCAGTCAAAAACCATCCATTAACAAATGGCAATCCTGTTTATACAAAATAACTTTCCAGTCAATATTAGCTCACAGATCTGGATACACACATTATATTGCAGTAAGATGTAATTACAGTGTCAGGTCACTTTTCCAAAATAATCCTTTTAAGGGATAACCCTGAATTTAAGAATTCGCAACAGACTTCAAGAGGAGAGCATTAAAGAAGCTATTGATGAAGTCTAACCGATCTGAATAAGAAATTTTGAATTTAAAAAAAAAAAAAAAAAAAAATCAGAGTAGCTGTTCAGAAGACACTGATTTTAAGGCAGGCTTGAGAATAACCAGAATGCTCAAGACAGAATGGAGAAGTTTGATTTGATCAAAAATAGGGTGACATGACTGTGTAACTTTTACATGGCTAAATTAGGAATATAATTTTTTTTCCCGATAGAAAATTCCTTTCAGATAATAAAGCCCATCCTCAGAGTTAGAATCAGCTGGTTTAAGAGTAACTTACCTTAAGGCTTTTTTGTATGTTTAAGTTAACATAATCCACCACTTTCACTGCCACATATATAAAGAAGAAAAGCAAAGCTTATTTCAAACGTCCATTTTTAGAAGCTAAACAGCTCAAAAGTTCCAATGCCAGTCACTGCACTTGTGTCTCCAGGCGCCTTACTTCTTTAACCACAAGATCAATGTTTATAATTGGGTTAAAGTACAAGGCCCAGTAAAACAAACAATTGCAGACAAACTGAGGAATAAAAGGCCAAAAAATGGCAACAAAAAGACCCTGGGTTGAGACTTTCCAGAAATGTCTCCACATTCGGTGAGGAATAGTCCTGTGAAAAAGGAAAAGGAGAGGCTTAGAAGGACTTTCCATTTTGTTTTTACCCATTCTAAGAACAGCTAATATGTGCTGCAGCCTCAAATTATTTAGCACGTACTCAGGTACCAGTAAAACATCATTTTGCACTCCAGAAAAACTTTCTTAAAATACAGTAACACTAGATTTTATATGAGGAAGCATTAAGTCAATTTATTCAGAACACAAAGCACAGCAAGTTAAAGTGGTCAAATTCCAGATTTGTCATAGATTTTTTCCATGTATCCTGTTTGTTTTTGAACATGCTCTGCCCCCTAGCTGCTGGCAGAGAAAGTGAAAACCCAGTATACACCAAAACAAGAATTTCTCCTATGCAGGTTCTAAAAACTATAAATAAAAGATCACAGCAATTATGAAATAATATTAATATGCTTGAATTAAGGCTAAAGCAGTAACTGAAAACAGCAGTTTACATCACCTATGAAAAATAATATCAGTGTAACTAAACTTATTTATGATCCTGAGGACTCATCCTTTAATAACTGTATTGTAAGCATATCATGACAAAGTTCTTATGTATTTAGTTCTCAGCTGACAGCTAATACCAGTTACCATAAAAGGCAATTCTCAAGGTAAGGGTTAATATTTACCCAATGGTTAAGAACATACTTATTACTGTTACTGCATTTGCTACATCTGATCAGTAAAACAGCTATAAGAAACCCTTTTAAGTATTCACGGAAATAAAGATATTCAAGAGTAAGTACTAGTATACATGCGGATTCAGATTCACACGTTCTTATTAACCTCAGAGTTGTGGTTAGACACATTTCAGTGAGCAGTTGTGAAACTGTAAGACTCTTACGTTCTATTTATAAGGCCATGTACTTCCTACCCTCTTCAACAAGCTCAGTAAGACTTACTTCAATTCTCTTCTTGACCAGAGCCTCCAAAAGGAGAGTAATTCCAGAACAGAGAGCAACATGGCATTTACAATTATAAACCTTGATGTCCAGTAGTGCATATCCAACCAATCCCAAGCAAATTCAGCTATCAACTGGTATGGCAAAAATAAATACTTTACAATGAATTCTCTCCACTGTTTCCAAGAAGGATCTTTAAGGTCCTGTAAATTAGGATAAAAAGACTGTTGATCAATTTCCTATTAAACAGACACAATACTGGCTTATTTCCACTACTCTTTCGTTGAAAAATTGTTTTTTCATACATTGAAAGCAGTAACTTATCTTTACTATACTTTCTGGTAGATAATACTATCACCCAGTAATTTCCATTAGATTAGAATAAAACATCAGAGACAGACTGACCTTATAATGCCGTTTGTTAAAATACAGCCTTTCTATAGTAATGTGAACTTCAAAAAAATCAGTTTCACAGATTTAAAGTGTTAAAAGCCTTAAATCAATCTTATTAAAGGTAATGGTCACAACACTGGTGATCACATACAATAAAATTAAGGAACCACTTAGCTTGTAGGACTTTTTTTTTAAAGTTGTATTGTAAAGAGATGAAATGGTGAATAATTACATCATGTGGTTTTATGCTGCTAGTCTTAAAATGCTTGTAACTAAAGCAAGTAGTGTATTTAATGTTTTGAACACTTACTAGTAGTTTTGTGACAATATCTTCGTACTTATCTTCTTGCGTAGGGCAAATTGTGTGGATGAAAGGTAGGAAAGCTTCTGCATAATCAAACAAATATAGGTATAACATACTGAGTCTTGGAGAACTCTTCAGTGCATACAGCAGAAAGAGTGATTTTCCTGGATTTACTGCCTGAAAGGTTATCGAATTATCAAATTTCAAACAATGAAAAAATAAACTGAAAGAGACATGCCAGTTCTTAGATTTTTCTGACAATCATTTTTCAAAAGATCATTTTTCAAATACAACAGTTCATTAAACTGAGCAGTTTTTACAAGAGTAATTCTACTATCTTTACACCCCTCCTGGCTTTAAGAAAATTTTCTTTTAGAGATGTTATTTTAAAAATACTTAATATACATGACAGACTTTATATAAAATTTACCTTATATTCCCAAAGGTTCTGTGGTGGTTTAACACCTAAAGTTTTCACACATTCCAGTTCTGCCATAATAGCTTTTCTATGGTTATTGTTCTCTATACTGTAAGGCTCTTTCATGAAATCCTCCTCTGTCAGTGTTAGAAGGAGTCTACAAAAGCAGAAGAATTCAGAAGGTAAACAGTGCCTCTTCACCAAAAAGATACGACTAAGAAATTAGCAATTACATACTGAAACAATAAGCTACTCATAGAAGTTATCACCTTTTGGATTACATTCCATATCAAGTGTTCTGAATCAACTGCATCTCAGAGCCTGGGTTTTAAATATCCTTCTTTTCAAGTTTTCTTTTGCCTGCTTTCAGCATGCAAATTTATCAGCTTGTTGGCTATTATTGAATACAGTTCTTCAGTACTTCACAGATCTAGTCTGGTCTCCCGAAATCAAACCTAGAGCTCTTGGGTGGAATGCAACAATGCATATAGCATATGCATATTTTCACAGGAAAGAAAAGGTGGGAGGGATGGATAATACATTAGTAGAATTTTACTTTCAGTATCATTTCAGTCTGCATTGTCAGCATTTTAAAAAGTTAGGAAATTTTCAGTTAGTTTGCTTAGTATCTACTACTAAAGTTTTCAACTACAAGTGTTAAAACTTCCCCTGAATTTTACTCTGATACATCAACAGAATATTCCCACAATCTACGGAACAAAGTGCAGTCATTTCAAAATATACCGTCCCTAATGAAAACTATCCAGTAGTCCAATCAAATGATAGCAGTTCTTGACAGTTAGGCCTCTCACCTTCCATTCACTTTCTCCAGTAAAAATCTTTCTTTATAATGTGAAGCCCATGGGCCCAGCTGCTCTAGCCAAAGTATCACTTCCTCAGCAGTCCATTTAGCAACAGGCTTGTGGACAAGAAGATCTTCTTCAAATTCTCTGCTACTCCAGTGATATCCAAGTAGAACTACCTATAGGTTAGATTTAAAAAAAAAAAAAAAAAAAAAAAAAAAAAAAAAAAAAAAAAAAAAAAAAAAAAAAAAAAAAAAAATCTTTTCCCCAAAAAAAAAAAAAAAAGAAAAGTAAAAAGAGAAAGAAA